AAGATGGAGGTGTAGGTAGACACACTGTGCCTCTTTGCACAACCAAAAGAAGGACAACAACAAATTTAAAAACAAAAAAATAACCAGAACTGACAGAAAATTGAACTGTATGGAAGTCCGACAACCAAGGAGTTAAAGAAGAAACATTCACCCAGACCCATAGGAGGGATGAAGACAGGCAGCTGGGTGGAGAAGACTCTTGTCAAGGCGGAGGCTGGAGGACTGGATGAGGCAGTGGTTGGTGGAGTGGGTGGTTCCACATTTGTGTGCAGATAAACTGGGAGGAACAACTGGGCAGCAAGATAGATCACACAGCCCACAGTTCCAGTGCAGGGAAATAAAGCCTCAAAGCCTCTGACTGAAAACACCTGTGGGGGTTAAGGCGGCAGTGGGAGAAACTCCCAGCCTCACAGAAGAGTTCAGTAGAGAGACCCACAGGGTCCTAGAATGTACACAAACCCACCCACATGGGAATCAGCACCAGAAGGGCCCAATTTGCTTGTGGGTAGCAGGGGAAATGACTGAAAACCAGCATAGAGCAGAGCAAGCACCATTGTTCCCTCTCAGACCCCTCCCCAACATACAGCGTCACAACCCAGCAACTGGGTTGCCCCGCCCTAGTGAACACCTAAGGCTCCGCCCCTTACATGTAACAGGCCTGCTGAGTCAAAAAAAAAAATGGCGAAATGAAAGAACAGTTCAAAGCTCCAGAAAAAAGACAACTAAGCGACAGAGATAGCCAACCCATCAGATGCACACTTCAAAACACTGGTTATCAGGATGCTCCAGGAACTCACTGGGTGCTTCAACAGCATAAAAAAGTCCCAGGCAGCAATAAAGGTTGCATTATGTGAAGTAAAGAAAAATCTACAAGAAATCAACAGTGTCAGGAAGGAAACCAGGACTCAAATCAACGGTTTGGAGCAGAAGGAAGAAAGAAACATTCAACCAGAACAGAATGAAGGAACAAGAATTCAAAAAAATGAGGAGAGGCTTAGGAACCCCCAGGACATCTTTAAACATTCCAATATCCATATCATAAGGGTGCCAGAAGGAGAAGAGGTAGACCAAGAATTTGAAAACTTATTTAAACAAATAGTGAAGGAGAACTTTCCCAATCTAGCCAAGGAAATAGACTTCCAGGAAGTCCAGGAAGCTCAGGGAATCCCAAAGAAGTTGGACCCAAGGAGAAACACACCAAGGCACATCATAATTACATTAGCCAAGGTTAAAAATAAGGAGAGAATCTTAGAAGCAGCAAGAGAAAAGGAGAGAGTTACCTATAAAGGAGTTCCCATTAGGCTATCAGCTGATTTCTCAAAAGAAATCTTGCAGGCAAGAAGGGGCTGGAAAGAAGTATTCCAAGTTAAGAAAGGCAAGGACCTACATCCAAGATGACTCTATTCAGTAAAGCTATCATTTAGAATGGAAGGGCAGATAAAGTGCTTCCCAGATAAGTTCAAGTTAAAGGAGTTCATTGCCAACTGGCCCTTATTATATGAAATGTTAAAGGGACCTATCTAAGAAAAAGAAGGTCAAAAATATGAACAGTAAAATGACAACAAACTCACAACTATTAACAACCAAACCTAAAAAAAAAAGCCAACAAAAAAACAAAAATAAACTAAGCAACCAACTAGAACAGGAACAAAACCACAGAAATGGAGATCACATGGAGGGTTATCAGTGGGGCAGTGGGAGGGGGAGAGGGGGGAAAGGTTCAGAGAATAAGTAGCATAGATGGTAGGTAGAAAATAGACAGGGGAAGGGTAAGAATAGTTGGGAAATGTAGAAGCCAAAGAACTTATATGTATGACCCATGGACATGAACTAAAGCTGGGGATGCGGGCAAGAGGGGTATGCAGGGCGGAGGGGAATAATGGGGGGGGGGGGAATGGGACAACTGTAATAGCATAATGAATAAAATATATTTTTAAAAATTACTTTTAATTCTCCCCTCAAATCCTACTCTTTTAACCCCTTTATTTGTGCTGGGTCTCCTTTCTCACTCAGACCTCAGTCCTACCTTCTCATGCCCCAGAGGGCGGCCCGACACAGGGTGGCCCCAGCAGCGGGCCTCAGAGGTCACCTCACAGAAGCTGATATGACTGCGCAAAGTGGCTTTGAACTCAGGCTCCTCCCCTGCTGCACTGGGACACTGGGGGCAGGGGAAAGCATCTCTGAGGGTGATGCAGGATCACAGCAGGTTCCCTCTGCATGGTCCTGTCCCCACAAGCTCAGGAACTTTGGCCCAGTTTGGGGTTGTTACCAACATTTCAACCAAAAGCCTTTAGTTCCTTTGACATTAGACATTTATCCCAATTTTCCACTGAGGGTTGGAATAAACTTCAGCATTTCTCTGAGAGTTTGACAGTACCTAATGGACTTCTGTCAGTGCTGCCAAAAGTGTGACAGGCAAAGGCACTGCTCAGGGGGTGCACATGGACAAAATTTATTATTTCAATAGTTAGAACTTACTTTAATCAGTAAATATATATGTGTGTGTATGTATACAAATACATACAATAGGATATTAAAGCCATAATTTTAAAGATATTGCTTATGAGGTATAAAAACAGAGAAAGACCTATTAACATCAATTTAAGTAACATATTAAGTAAATAAGAGTATTGGTAATGAGTAGCAATTGCAAAAATGACGGAGCTGGCAAGAAACAGGCTGCCATTTGAGGAGCAGTGCCCCTGCTTACGTGTCCCTTGAGCTCAAACTGCAGCATGATCTGGTTCATTAAAACCAGGGGTTCAATGTGAACCCCTGGTCATGAGAATGCTCATCCTGAACCAGTTCCTGAACTCTCCTTTAAGAGCCCCAGGTCAGGGAGAAAAGTATAGCAGGGTAAATGTGGCTTTTTCCCTGATTCCCACATGTTAAAATCTATACATTAATTACGTGATATGATTTTTGCATGAGCTGGATAAAGTCACTGCCAAAAAGGAGTCATCATTTCTGGGTGCTACTCCCCAACATCTAGCCAGGTACGGTCCATCATCCCATCTACTGAGTTATCTAAGTTTTGTTTCCAGTTTACCTTCAAGTTTCATAGTTCAAGGTCAAACATTTTGACAGCTTTTTCTAACAATTTTTACATTTCTTTGGGTTCGTGATTGCTTCTATCTGCTTGAGTATTTTTCTGGATAAAGGTGCACTGGCTCACACTCTGCAGCAGACAACTTAAGGGCCTTCACTGTCTCCTGGTCAATGCGCTGAAGTGGACACTAAATTTGGTAACTTTCCACATTATCCCCTGTGCCTGGTATTCAGACACATATCCACGCTAGGATCCTAAGCTTCCATAAGAAAATAACAACCCAATGTCTAGATTAGTAGACTATAAATATACTTTTAAAAAAACTTAAAAAATACAAAGTATTCAAGGCAGCTGGATTCTGGGTATACAGGAAGTACAATAGCCTGCTCACTTTTCTGTTGCTCACTTTTTAAGAAACATTTGGTTGCCTGGCTGGTGTGGCTCAGTGGACTGAGTACTAGCCTGCGAACTAAAAGGCTGCTGGTTGGATTCCCAGTCAGGGCACAAGCCTGTGTTGTGGGTCAGGTCCCCAGTGGGGGGCATGCAAGAGGCAACCACACATTGATGTTTCTCTCCCTCTCTTTATCCCTTTTTTCCTCTCTCTCTAAAAATAAATAAATAAAATCTTTTTAAAAAAAGATTATTTGCATCTATTAAAAAAAGAAAGAAAGATTAGGTTGAAGACAACATTATTTAAGGAGGATGGCCCAAAGGACAGGTAGTCTGTGCATTCTTCTCTTAGTTCTCTGGACTCTCCCCAGGCCAGCGGAGAGCAGGCCACACAGGGTGGCCTGTGGAAGAACTGCTGTGGCCACACAGCCCGCAGCCCACATGGAGGGGCTTCAGGAAAAACCACCCAATGAATAACAGCTCACGTCAGGCCGTTTAAGGACTCTGGGTCTCATGTCACAAAATCTTGTCTAGGAAGATTCTCAGGAAATTTCTCTATCCTTTCAGCTATGGGAGTAATTTCCCTTCACCTGAGCAGTGGGTAAGTTTTTACCTGTGGACGCCATGACTCATGTACTGAGCACCCCTCCCTCAGCGCTGGCTGCTGGAGCCACGGCCAGATCTGAGGCCCACCTGCCGCAAATGAACAGCGCTTCCCACACATGCTTAGTGTATTAACATCACATGTGACTTCAGCTTATCTTTCCTATTTACATTCTCCTCTTTACTCTCAGCCCCAACTTCCTTATCTGTAAAAGTGAGATAATAAGCCTATCATGAGAATTTAAAAACATATAAACTGTTGTGTATTTTTTGGTACACATATACCCAATATATTCTAGTAATAGCCCACATTTATTGAATGCTGATTGTGCACGATGACGTAGCACTTTGAGAGTATATTTAATCCTCATACAATTCCATGAAGTTGGTGCTAGTATTACCCCTATTTTACAGAGGAGGAAAAGGAAGCCCAGAGGATGTAAAGAAATCTGACCGAGATCTCAAATCTTCCACAGGTAAAATTTGGAACTGAATGCAGGCCTCCTGACTCTGAGCCAATGCTCTTAACCGTCTACTAATATGGCAGCTATTACTTAAAAGCTATTTAAAAAAAATAATTTGTCTTGTTTTTCCAATCACTTATTTATTTATTTGCTTATTTATTTTCAGAGGCTGGGTGTGGTCACATTTAGGGTCCAGAGCATTCCCATTTTTATAAGTGAAAGTACCACTTCCCAGGATAACACTCGGTAGTTTTACCACTGTGTCTGCCTTCGAGCAGGACCACTGCTCGTACATACAGATACCTTCGTGCAGTTTAGAAAAAAGGGGCACCCATTTATTTTTAACTTACTTTTGATCTTGTATTAGATATAGTTATGTAAACTGTCTTAAGTCCTCTGTGGAATTGATGGTTATAGGAAAATAAATATAAATATAGAACGTCATCTGGCATTTAACACTTACAGTTATGGGTAAGCATTAATACACATATTACCTTTATATCCTTGTTCTGTCTCCCTGAGATCAATTTTGGTTATTGGTTTGAAATCAGTATCCCACAGTCGTATACACCCATCACGTCCGCCGGTGGCAAAGCCTTCTTCACAAGCATACATGCTGAAGATCCCAGCCTGTCAATTAAGGCAGATAACACTCAGTGCTGCCACCATTCTGGACAGCGATGGAGAGTGAGTCTTGATGATTGAAAATCAAAACAAATCCCTGTTCTCTGCTGAAATCCTGACAATAAAACAAGCAGCCATTTAGAGTGCCCTTTATTTTAGCTGGATTAAAAATTAATGATAATCACCGCCATAGCCAATTGATTCAAGACATCCTTTGCCATTACTAAACTGATGGCAGGTTGTTAAAAAATCATTCAGAATTCCTTGGTTAAATCAGACAAGTGATCGTTATGAAGAAAAGATGTGACAACTGATCACTATAAAGAAAAGTAAAACACTGGAGGGGTTTCATGTAAATTGCTGCCCAAATAATCAAGTAAAGATGTTCTGGCCAGGAGCATAAGCACTTCCACATCTCCATGAACTCCAGAAGGCACCACCTGAGCCTGACCGAAAGCATCAGTTTTAGTGGTGGTAGCTGATGCATCCTTGAAGACGCTTTTTCACATCTGAAATAGTTTCCTAATTTAAAGGAAACTTTAATTCAGAAAAACATCCTAATTTAAAGATGTTTTTCTGCAGAAAAATATTTTATTTGGTCTGTTTAAAAGTGCTACAAGTGAACAGTGTTGACCTAAGATCCAGAGTAAAGAGAAATTAGGTTACTAAGGCAGCTGCTTTTATGAATGAGGACAAACACTTCTTGTTTTAAAAGCTGTTTCATAATTATCAAAGCCAAGAAAATTGGTCTTGAACATACAAGACAATGAAAGGTCTACAATTTCATAGTTCTTTTGCTAAGAGTTCCTTAAACTTTTCTCCCTATTATAAGTAATAGGGGATCAATTTGGAGGCAATAAGCAAAAGGGATATCAAGCCTCCTGTAACATTTTACCACACTTCTATTCACTGCAATAGGCTTTACGTTTCATGTCACCTCCATTCACCTGTAGATAGAGCAATGGAACCTTTTTCATATGTGTCAAAATTGAGCAGAGAGTCAGAAGTAAAGTTTGCCCTGTTCTCACAGAGCAGACCATCAAAAGAGAGTTTGTCCATGGTTTCTGTTTGAATTTTAACAGCTTGTGATGTGGACCTAGAGGGGAGGAAAATGTATCTTACTAATGGATGTAGTACAGTTATCCCCACCCTTGCTATTCAATGGGTGAGCCACAGGCCAGCAGCAGTGAGATCACTCCAGACACACTGAGTCAGAATCTGCACATGAACACGATCTCCAGGAGACTTGCAGGCACATTCCAGTATGAGAAGTGCTGGTCAGTGAGAGGGAACTAACAATGAAATAGTTCCAGTCTTCTGCTGAGCTACTGTTGATGAATAGCAACACTAATCGGCCAATTAGTAATTGAGGTAAAGGCTAATTAAATTACAGTGTTTTTGAAATATTTCTTCTGGGTGAACAAAAAAATTTGGGAAATCTTTCAGGCATGTTTAGAGAGTGTTCAGCAGAGTTGGATGATCCTCAAGTGATGGGGAAAAGATAGAGAGACTTGTGGCCTTAACTTATTAAGTAAATCTTACCAAATTTCCACTTGGGAATACTCACACTATGTGCTCCTTGAATGGTGCGGACTAAGTTGAGCCCTTTCCAGACATAGATGTCCCCATTTAAAGCACCGGAGTAGGTGATGTCTTCTTTGGCACACGCAAGGCAAAGGATGGTCTGAAGATCCCCTGTTTTGCCAAATACCCCTCTTTTTGCAGTCAGGGCATTTCCACATAGTGTCCAAAACTAGGAAGTAAGTGATAAAATAAACAGATCCAAAAATAGAGTCTTCCGATGCATGTCATTATTAGTGTTTATTTGCTTATGTTTCAATACATGTTACATAATTTGCTATGGCTGAACTAGGTACACGTAATTTAACTTGTTTTGCTGTGACAGCAGAGAACCGCAGAACATTTTAGCCAACTAGCAGATTACAATATTTCAAAATCTTCAAAGTTCCAAAATTTCAAAACTTTACTGTTTAATGGTAATTTAATATAAAATGTCAATGTTCCCAGAGTTGGAGTACAGTGGATGAATCATCACGCTTTTGTTTGATGAACTTCTTGTCAAATTACAGAACTAGTATAGGTTCACTGTAGAGAAGTTTAGAAACACAGAAAAGATAAATAGGAAAATTAAAACTATCTACAACCTCCTGTTAACATTTTAGGCATTTTTTGATGAATGTAAATATATTTGGAAATAATTTGTTTCTAACTAAAAATACCATAAATCTTCACTGTAAAAATGTTACATAGAAATATGTATTTAAATATAAGCTTAGCTCCATATAGACAAATAATTGATGAGACTTTTCAGTTTTGGTGGTATAATTTCTCAGGTGGAAAATCATAAGCATAAAGCTTGAACTACTTTCTAGAAGGCAGCAGGGAGACTCCCATTGTTACATAAAAATTAAATATTTTGCTTTGCCATACTTTTTTTTTTTCAAATAATGAAATGGTCCAACTTTAGTGCCATGTACATAGTCCCTCACAGTTTATAATGGCTCTTTACATATGTCTAGTTACTTAATCTTCGAAATACCCTTGAAAAGCAGCTAAGGCAGATATTATTACCCCTGTTGGGTGGGGAGAAAAGAGAGCCTTTGCACCTCACAGAGGGTAAAGAAGGGTTCAAGGGGGTTATACATGACACAATATTGACATCTTGATCTTTGCCTCAGGAACTTTAAATCTAATGAAGATACACATAAAACAACAAGAGAGCATTTTAAGGTAGCCTATTCAGACCGACTACAAGTGGCAGGAGAATTCAAAGACAGAAAACACGTTGAATTAATTGGGATGAGTGAGAGCAGGATTGGGAGCCATGGTGAGGAAGAAATTGCACTGGGGTTCAGGAGAGCAGGATTAGGCAAATCTAGGTGACAGGAAGTGTGAGGAAAATCAGTGGCAACACTAATACTCTGTGCCTGCAAGAGAGGGAAAATGGCAGTCCTCTAGATTCAGGGTTGGGGGCGGGGGCAGCAAGGGAGGTGGTGTGGTCCTGGGGGAAGCAGCTCTGGGATGGCTGCGCCACCAGGAGGGCCGGGGCTCAGGCAGCTGTGGAGAAGGTGGCCCTTAGGGAGCAGGACAGACAGAGGTGCACCCTTGTGAGACAATACAAGATTCTTGTCTCATTCAAGAAGATTCTTGTCTCATTCAAGAGTCACCACTCTGGTGACTCAATCTTTGTGTACTGTTTTTATGAAAAGGCATGCAAGTCTACATAGAAAGAATAAAAAGATCTGGGAAAAGACAGGTAAAAGCTTTGGCAAGATGTTTAATACTTAAGGATTAACTTTGAACCTGAACAAACTGTTAGACCTAACTACATGCCAAAGAACTTGATGTTCGTGGTGACCCTTGAGGCAGGCATTTCTTTCTCACTGTGTCTCCCCAAGCATGAAGGTAAAAAAGAGAGAAATTATTTTGTAATTATTATCCCTTTAATTTGGGGTGTGCACTTCTGACCTCAGTTACTGAATTATTTCTAGATAGACAACCGAAGAAAGCAGAGACCATTATCCTCAGACATAAAGGGTTTCTGATAAAACCACCCAGTCAGATGGTATTAATGTCAACATGAAATATTCTAAATAATCAAGTGATTCTCTAAAAAGGCAGATATACATGTAATGCCAGGATAGGTATGAGGTTTTCTCCGAAAAATGGCAAGTCTTTGACCTATGATCACTTCTTGAGAAGCACTTTCTGTTTGGAAAACAGTGACAGTTGAGGGTAACAACACATCACTAAACCCGCATCGAATGGAGAGTCATTGTCTGTCTTCTCCAATCCCCATTCACAGATTGTAACGCAAGTTTTGCAAGAACTGTCAGTCACCTGGAGTCCATCTGGCCCGGGGAATCGCCAAGGTCCCTTCGGTCTCTGACTAGAGACTGGAGAAGGATCAGTACCCACAACCCTGGTGCACTCATTTGCTGTAAAACCAACCAAGCAAGTGAAGCTCAACTGCTACTGTTTTTCAAGCGCTCATTTCAGATCACTGATTTATTCACCTGTTTGCAACACCAGAAAGGATTTCACCCTAGCTATAAAAATTTCACATGGAAATATTTTCTTGGGGTGCATCAAAGATTTTGTGTTCACCACGTGACTGGAATCCTTCACAGGATGTTAGGCACCTGTGGGGAGAAAGGGTGGGGATCCTAGAATTGAGTGAAGAAAATATAGATAGTGAAAATAATTTGTTGAAGTTTGTTGAAATTTGATGTGGAGTTCTTTCTAAACAAATTAATAAAGAATGGCTGAGCTGTGAGGAGGGCTTTATAAGGGGACTAACTGGTAAAGGGAAAAACACAATAAAGATTAAATTTTTAAAAAAAGAATGGCTAAGCAGGCATTTACAGATTCTTCAATTTGAGGTAAAAATCCTTATATTTGCCTAGGAAAAAAAATGCCTAAGTCTGCTAAAACACAATTAACAAATTTATCAGGATAAGTAGATCTTAGTGTTTTCAAATGAAGTTCCAAGGTTTTCTCTTCCTCTGCTCTTAGATTTAACTGTCTGAAAGTTAGCATTAACCAAGGATAGAAAGAAACAGGAAGAAGCTAAGAGTTCTGTTAATTAAGCAGCTAATCCATTATTTTTAAAAATCTAGTTTTGGGGAAAAGGGAGTTAGGCCAAGTTAGATCATTAAAGAAATAATTTCTAAGTGGGAAGAGCTATACAGGGAGTCAGAGACCGCATTTAAATCCTCTCTGCACCACCATTTCTGTGGTCCTAGGAAATGGGAAAAGCAGTTAACATTATTGGCCCCCTACTGGTTCCATCTACTGGTCAGTGTAACTCTTAATAAATTCAGGACGTAGTTTTTCCTAGAGGAAGATTAAGTAGCTCCCCCAAAGTCAGGTGGAGGGAGATAAAACGAATGTTCAATACAACTTCCTAGGCCCTGGCTTCCTCACTGTAGAATGTGTGGGTTGGACGATGGGTCTCTGGGTCCCAGACTCCCAGACAGCCAACCGGCCTCATGGAAGTCGGGCTCAGCATGAGCTCATGTATTTCTTTACTTGTGGCTCGAAGTACAACTCAGTGCTCTTGCCATGTTTTAGACAGATCAGAAACTCATGCTGGCAGACACATATCTTTGATTAATAAAAGTTATTAAGCTGATTAATATTTAATAACTACAGTGTATTTTGTGGCCAAAGTCTTTCCAAATATCGGTTCTCATAGAAAGTTTTACAAAAAGGTCCTTTGGTGATGATAACACTGATAATCTTTGAACATGTCATGGGCCAAGGTCCTTTCTGTTCCCCAGTCCCACGATTCATTCCATGGGTGACTAATGACTCCTATCAACTCCTGACTGAAGTGCCAGCCCTCCCCTGGGTTCTGCTGCCTTCCAAGCTCTCCCTACCAAACTCGCCCGCCCACCAAGGCTCAGCTCAAAGCGCACCCTTTCCGGAAACACCCACCATTCCCTGACCACTTGGGATCATCCCTATAGAATTTCAGTTTCGCCTCTCTTACAGAATGTTCTGTTTTCATGTTTTTAGTTGCTCCACTTGAAGCAGACTGAAAAGAGGGTCAGCTTTTAATCCTTCACACAGTACAAACTCAGCTGTTTATCAAATTTAATGAGTGTTCTAGACTTTCGTGTGGGCTGTGTGAAACATAAGGAAGGATCCTCCAACTGCTCCTGAAGCAACAAGTACCCATATTTCAGCAAACATATTCTCAGGTTAGAATCAGATCTTTGCACAAAGGCTACAGAATGTTTAGGAAGCCGCAAGGTGTTGGCAGGATGCCTGATGTTAGCTTCCTTCAAGATCGGAGAAGCAGGTACGAGGGTTCTAAATTTAAGAAAAACAATATAAAATCGAGCAGTTTCTCAACACCAAATTACGTATATAAACACCTAAAATACTTTTCATTCAAGGTACCAAAAATTTGAAAAAGATAACTACTTTACCTTTATATGTTTTACTCCACAGCTAACCACTCTGTTTGGCTGATACGGATCCCAGGAAATATCAAAAATCTGTTTAAAAAATATTAAAAGTTGCTATGTTGGTCACTTACATGTTTTTGCCTTCTTTCAGATACCAGTCCGACTGCCCGTGCTCCGCCCTGACTCTAGAACAGTGTTGCCTGCACAGGCTGCAAGGTGGAGGGTTAGACTCTGAGGATGAGTCAGGAATTGCTAACACGTGTTTTACTGTCTCATCTCCACTTACCTTAGGCCTGGATAGAGAGGTAATAATTAAGCACAATCACTGAGAACAAACTGATGTCATATTTTTAACTTTGTCCATGCAAGGTAAATAAATTGTGATGATGTAGGATAATTTTTTGGTTGAATTTTCAATAGCTCTCCACAAGGCTAATTAAACACTTTTGAGAGAGTTTTTTTAAATGAAAAGTAAAAAGAATTATAAAATGCTTCATTTTGAGTAGGAAAATGTGGCCAACAGTTTCTGGTATCACAGAAGTTAATATTCCTGAACATAAGGCAGAGTCATTTACCTGGCACTAAGCCCACCAAGGCCGGCATTTTGATCTGATCCATAATGCTATCATATTTTCAGTTTTCCAAGGAACTGCAAACATACCTGCTAACATTACTTATCATTCTTTAAGAAAAGCTACCAGGCAGACTGCAGGTAGTCCTATTTCTATTGGGGGATAGGGGAGAGAAGACTATGATCCTTCAGGGTCAAATCACCTGTGGCAGTTGTTTAACATGCACGTTTCCCTGGCAGAAAGAACCTGAGTTAGTGGGTCTGAAATTGAGTCCAGGCGCCTGCATTTGTAAACAGACCGTGGGAGATTCTGATGCAGGTGGCCCACAGACCACATTCTCTGAAGCTCTAACAGAAAAAAGAATCAACTGCCAGGGCCAGCATCTAGACCACAGGGCCCTGAGGCCACTAACTTCTCATCACATAGGAAGGAGTAATACGAGCCAATCATCAGAGAAAGAAGGAAGACCTATAACCTTTGGTCAGGTAGAAAGGAACAATTATGGACCACAGAAAGAGAACTAACGAAAGAGCACCTGGTCCAAGTACCCATCTTAGCTTTGCAAGCTCAGGCAATATTTAGCATCTCTAACCTTAACCTTGCCTTCCTTAAAATGAGGAACACCAACTCAGTTTTGTTATGAGGTTAATTAAGATAAGGTAAATATGATCATTTTGCAGGTTGTAAAGCACTCATTATACAAATGAGTACTGGGGATTAAGTATTTTAGTCACTAAAATAACTGTGAACATAATCATTTGCCCATAAGCATTCAGTAATCATTCATATTAGCATCAATAGTAAAGAACAAAACTAGGTGTGATAGAAATTACAGGTTCTGGGAGAACAATGTTATAAAAGAACATTATTTCATTAAAATATTCTAGGCTATTAAAATTAGCATTCGCACTAGCATAGCACTGCACTTCCTACAAGCTACCCCTAACTGGAAAGTGTACAATACAGTAACAAAACAACAGGAAATTCATCTATTGATCCAGTCCAATCGGTTTACTTTACAAGATATGATGGGCTCACAGCATAAACAGAAGCAGTACCATCCAAAATATAAGAATTGCAAATATTTTCAGCTTGTTCAGTAAGAGCTAACTTGTTACCAATTACATACCAATAAGTTAATACCAATACCTGGGGGTAGAACCCAAGACTCACGATGCTGTAAAATCCCCTTAGAGTATATTTATGTGTTGTTAGGGCTGGGAACCACTGTGCCAGGCCGCTTCCAACACGGAAGTTCCACTGCTGGTCACTCCTGGGCTTTCTGAGAACTTAATCCCCAAGCACAATTTGCCCCAATGTGTAGGAACAACTATGGGATCCCCTTGATATCACAATTATCTATGGAAGGCTACACTGTTCATATAAAAAGGTTTTTTGAGACTTCAGACAAAATTTAGTATTTAATTAATATTTCATTAAGACCTCCTTCTGCATGGGCACATATTCAGCAAAAATACAAAACAACTAGGAATCAACGTAAGACAATCATACATAGTCATTATTTTTTAATTAGAAAATCAAGGCAGTCAAGTAGTCAAGTTATTTACATTACACAAGATGTTAGAGAAATCAATTTCTCACCAGTTGATGCATATGCTGGCTTTGCATCCCACCGTGCCAGCCATGGCAACATGGAACTAGCACTCACTTCTCACACTCACTTCTGTGTGAGTGACAAGCGGCCACAACCTACACGCAAGGTGCCCAGTGCAGCAAAGAACCACAGAGTTGTCTTTATGCTCATTTGAGATGCAAAGGTACATGCTTGTAAACATATTTTGTGAATATAAATTTATAACAACTACTTCCATTTCTAAATGAATACATACATCTAAACTTTGCATATAATTTCAAATATAGTTCTATTTTGATTTTATGAGGAAGCCATGAAAAGCAGTAACAACTTAAAGCATTCAGTCTCCAAAAGAGATGCCAACATAGCTATTAATCCTAAATTAATTTTTTAAAAACACTAAGTTTTTAAGCTAAACATGTAGACAAAACATACACGTGGAAAACTGACTTTAAAAAAGTATTACGAACTTCGAGAAACTCTATCACAGTCCCCTCCCCAGTTATACAATCTGTAGGGCTTGATCTAGCAAGGTTTTCTTACCCGGTCGGAGTGGCCGGTGGCTGAGGCCAGAAGCTTTCCCTTCCTCCAGTCCCAAATGCAGACTGTGTTTTTGGCATCTAATCCCACAGAGGCTAAACGCTGAGAATAAGAACAGTAACTTAATACCTAAAAATGATGGCAAGATTTCCCATTATCCATGCTCCCTTTCAACAAATGGTAACTGATTACCTATTATGGGCCAAGCTTTGTGCTTATGATGAAAAAAATAATTTCTCAAGATCCATCTTAAATCCAAAAAAGCTATCACAGATGACTTCCATGCATATATACTGAAATTTCAAAAGCCTATCAGTTACAACTCAATTATCCTTCTTAAACACAGAAACATATGTGCAAAAATCTCATGAATCTCTGATTAGACATTGGAAACCATAGAAACAGAACTTGAAGGCAGGGTTTAAATTTATTTTTTAAATTTAAGATCTTAATGTGAGATTTAAGACAGTTTAGGATTTTATAGTGTGGGAGCCTCAACGAACTGCTAGAATTAAAGGGTCTGACCAACAAATAAAGGAGAAATCCCATACATTAATATTATTTTCATTCTCCTTAATTTCCATAATTTCACAAACATCCCAAATGACTCAAGAAGAATACATAATTTTAGTAAAAGGAAACTGGCACTTCATCTTCCAGTCCACATTCTTTGGGTTCATATCAGAATTTGTCCTCAAGAGAAAGGAAAATTTAACTTACCTTTCACTAAAGTAAAGCCCACATTATTGAGACACAGCCAAAAGGAATCTATTTTATTCATTTGTAGTGACAGACCCCACAGCTACCTGAGGAGCATTTATATTCCCTTTGTTGCTTGAGAGGGGATGGGCCACTTGTCATTTTCTAAATATCACTTGGTCCCAGTGAACTCTGTCTAGGGAATGAGGCAGACCTGAAGAAACAGGCTCAGCAAGCCAGGACGTCCGTCATGGTAAGCACATAGGAGGTTATTTTCCTCAACTGACTGAAGCACCCTGACTCCACCCGACCCCGACACTGCAAAAGGAAGACTAAAGGTTAAAGCTGACTTCCCTCAGTCACTTTATATTTTTGTTGTCATGCTTTAAAACAGCAATTTTCAACCAGCGTGCTGTGGCACACTGGTGTGCTACAAGAATTTTTAAAATGTGCAATACCTACCTATTTAGTCAAGGGCACTTCTCTTCCCTTAGACTGTCAAACAAAATGACAACAGCCAGCCGATATGAATGAATCAAAATCATACCTATTTTTTGTCAGACTGGCAAAAATTATGGTGTGCTCCCGAATTGCAGCAATTAGTTTGTGTGCCATGAGATGGAAAAGGTCGAATATTATTGCTTTAGAACCGATTCTGATAAAGAATGTTTGCTAGAAAAACGCAACCAAAATCAGATTGAGAATGTGAATTTAAGAATGCATCCAAGCACACATTTACACCTGTATGTGCATGTGCGTCCTGACACATTCATTCAGTTTAGTCAGGAAGTCCATAACTTCAAACAAAAGTCACTAACCAGCTTTTTGTCTTTAGATGTAGATATGCAATGGAATGTAGGCATTATCCTCACTAAATTAGATGAGATTACAATGTAGTAAAATCAAAAACAGATATGCCAGAGGTCTACATTGTAGTGAATCTGGTTCTGGAAAGAAAAATGAATAATGATCACTACTCCCTCAAAGTAGAATGCCGGTACGCCAATGTTAATTTTAAAAAGTGACTCAAACCAGGTCAAGTCTTACAATCCACTGGACTTCATACAAAACTTCAAGTTTGGTCAAGCATCTGTGAATAATTTGACAGGTCTTTCCACAGCACAGGCTTACAGAATTCTGAACTTTGACAAAAATTGGATTGAAGACATTACCTGACAGAAATGCAGAAGGTTTAAAAAAAAAGAGTAAAAGTGGCCTAGGAACACGGACAAGGCCGGGGGGGGGAGGCAAGGCAGTGGGAGCCAGGAATGACCCCTCGATATCTCCACTCCTTTCCCCAACATAGTTTTAAAATTGAGATACAATCGACCTCTGTGACATATAACCAAACCTTTTCTGCCAAGTGTTGCTGGAAGTCAAGGAAAAGACAGAAACCTTGTTGGGGCCACTGGGAAGGCTTCATGAAGACCTATGAAGTTTGTGGAAGAATGAGTTACTTTAAGGGGCAAAGAGGCTAGACAGGACAGCCTGAGGGGGCCCACAGGTGCGAAGAGCAAGGGCTGGTGGAGGACCCCTGCTCACCTGTCCAGTTCGACCACAAGGGGATAGTGAAGGCAAGGCTGGAGAAGCTGGTGAGCCTGGAATGCCCAGCTACAAAATGTGGACTTGGTTCAATGGGTACCCTAAGGTTTCTTGTTTTTAAACAATTCTCTGACACTTCTTTTTCCAGTTCGTGAGATGTATTATCAAGAAATTTACTGTGTTGAGACCAGTTACGAGGTTGTTTAAGCTGTCAGGTAAGACACGGAGTTGGAACTTACAGGATGGTGGCAGAGAGGAAGGGATGGAGAGGATGAACGTCAGAGCTACTGTAAAACTAACACACACGCAGCAGCGACTGCCTGAATTCTGGGGGAGTGGGTAAGGAGACTTTGTTAGAAGTGACCTCAAGGGAAACAGTCCAAGAGAACCTTCTCAGTGGATTATTAGGAGATGAGGTAATCTTCTGAAAGCAAGGGGAACCAAGGTGATGCTCAGGGTGTGAGGTCTGTGGAACAGGTTTGGTCCAACCCTTATTCCAAATAGGAAGCTAACAATGGAAGACAAAGCGGAATTGCTGAGCAGAATTGCTGAGTCATGATGGACGTGGTCAGCATGAGTTCAGGACTTCCTCCCTGAGGCTTTTTAACCAGATGCTGAGAGTGGGGACAGACCTCAATGGGCTTATTCAGGGCTGGGTGTCAGTGCCACAAGCTCGGAAAAGGCTCAAACAGATGAAGACCCTCAGAGGCTGCCAAGGGGCGACAGCAAGGGCTGATAGACCTTCTAAGTCTATAGGCTACGGGAATCATAATTCTAAGCAACCTATGAGAAATCATTAAAGAAAATGAAAATAGAAAAAGATACACACCTGTCCATCTGAGTCAAAAGCCAGGCAGGCGACTCCATGCGTATGGACATCTTTAAGGATAGACACGGTCTGGACATTATAGGAATCCCATATACATATATATGGCTCCTTCCCAACTTGGCCAGTTGCAACGAGAGTTTTATCTGGGTGTAAGGCAAGGCTGGAAAAGAAAAAGGGCTCTTTTCGCATCCTCTGCTGAACACAGTCAAGAAAAACACCGATCATCTTTTATCTACATTTATTTCCCATTTTAATCATCTAACAGGAAAATCTGAACTATACCCCCCACAAATAACTAATTACTCAATTGGTCTAAATATATATGTTCAACTTTCACAAGGAGGCTTGGCACAATTTAACAATGGTTTCATCTGATTTTACCCACTTGCTTACCTTGAAAATGGGACACTGTCAGGATTATAATTCTATGATTCTGTGATTAGAGAATCTTCTGTATGGTTCTGCTTTATGACATGATGTTTACTCACTGATTTTGAAAATATCATTCAGCTTTCAAGCTAGCTTTTGACTTTAGTTTAGGGGAACTGCTGTTGTTAGGACAAAGTGCACTTCTCAGGGTTAACTAAACCTGCTGGAGATGCCACGCACCACGCTCATTAGGGGTTCAAAGCACGGAGGGGTCCAGAGTCAAGTGCTGCTTCTGTGGCCATAGATCATGTATTTGAAATGAAATTGTCTATTTTACATCAATTACTGTGACACCAAGAGAACCGCTAATTACTACGCTTGTGTTTTTGTGCAGCATTTTCCCTCTGCAGTCCAATCAAAATAAAACTCTGTCAAACACCAACCAGAATTTCTAGGAGTCTGTAGCAGCCAAGAGGGAGAAATGTTATCATTACTACTTCCAGCTGAGAAATCACTCTCATGTTTTAAATTCACTGTATAAAGAAGTTGTGCCTTTCTAAAAATAGGTATTGGGAATTGAAAACAGAACAAAAAAGAGCACATTACCTATATTTGAAAAAACTAGCAGATGACTGTTTACCTAGTAACAAAAGTCGGATTTTCCCCCTTTCTAATTTCAGCATGGCTTTAGTAAGAGTACACGCTCTGGAATCAGACACCTGGATTTGCACATTGGCTGCCCTTTACTACCTCTGGTTGCTTGAACGTATTGCTTTAACTCTTTTGCCTCGGGTTCCTCGGCTATAAAATGAAGATACTATATTAAAATAGGTAACTTAATGACTGTAGAGCATTTAGCACAGGACCCAGCACAAAGTGAGCCCTTGATGCAAGCTCTTTATCACCACCACTCGTGTAACTGGAGTCAGATAGGTAACAACCGACATCACTAAGTCTCTGTGGACACGGTGTGCCTTTGAAACACAAACTGCTTCCTGGTTCTCTCCTGGCTCCGTGCGTGGTCCCCACAATTCTGCAGCTACCAAGCACCATAGCATGTCACAGTGGTCCCTTCCTGGGCCACCCACCAAACCTAGTGCCATCTACTGCAGAAGACCCCTGAGTACCACCCAGCCCCTCACCGACAGGCCTCCCCAGGCAGTGTACCCTGGAGCCGAGTACAGCTTGTCTTCCCAGGGGCTCCCCTCGCCCCACCCCACATGTCTGCAGTCCAGGCACTGCCTCGAAGCTGGAAGTCTGCCCCACTTGCACCCTCCTGTCAGGGCTGGGTGCCGCACCGGGTTTACGTTTTATTTTTTTAGGCAAACAAGGTGCAGTGAGAACGCACAGGGGCGCACTGTGGCTCCAGCTGTGCTGGGTAGTGAGTGCAGGTCCCAAAGGAGTGTCGGAGAGGTTCGAAGAACAGTAAAATCAGGCCCCAGGTGCTGTGGCCACGACCTCTCTCCCCAGAGGAACCCAGACCTCACGGGATCTCACGAGTTCCACGGGGCCAGCAGAGGAATCCTGAGATGAGAAACACCTGGGTGCCCCAGGTACCGGAGTCTCTTCCTTACTGACTTGTCAGTAAGGTGCCTGGCTCACATGGCCTGTTAAGCCAACCCCAATCCTCCTTGATGCGTCACCTTTCCCCTGAACCCCACAGCCGAATCACAGCGCAGGGCACCTGGCCCCACCTGCTGCCAGGTGTTGGGGACCAGGCTCTGGCTTAAAAGCTGTGCAGAGGCAGACTGGGCAATCACTAACTGTGTGAAGGCCGCAAGTCTATCTCCTCCCAGGACGAAGGCTTTGGGGCATCGACGTGGGCTTCTGGTTCGGCCACTGGGGCCCCATCCAACATTTCCCGAGGTCCAGGGCTGCAGCAACCCAAGCACACTGCTTCATTGCACATCCTTGCAGCCGGTTATTTCCCAGGCAGCAGCAGCAGCGAGGTGTCTAGAATTTGTTCCGGGAGTCCATCACTGCCTGTTTCTGGAGACTTTTCCCAGAAGAACAGTCTCTACACATTGCTCTCTCCTTCTGACAGTGAGCCTCTTCACTCAAGCCCTTTCTTCAGGAAATGTTCTCCTCTGGCAAACACCCCGGCAGGGATGCCCATGGGTTTAGGTGGGGCCTAGGCAGAGGGTGTGGGGTTTCCCAGGAAGGCAAGGCTTTGCAGCTTCAGCTGAGTAGCAGGGAGTGCGGGAGGGTCCTGAGGGAGGGGCAGGAGAGGATAGGCCAGGATGCACTGAGCATCAGGGGAGGCTCAGGGAATAACTCACGCCCCAGGTGTGGCTGCTGAGACCACTCTTCCCAGAGGAAGCCCCATCTCTCAGAATCTAGGGAGTTCTAAGCGCTGGCAGAGGAGTCCTGGCAAGAGAAACACCTGGGAGCCCGTATCTGAGCTGTGTAACAAGTGCTTGCTGGAAAGCGTATCCTTAGGAATCTTCATAAGGAGTGATATGAAAAGATAACACATACAGAGGCAGAGCTTTGTCACAATAGATGAATGCAAGAAGCTTTTATGCTTGTAGAGCACTTCGGCCTTCAGACTTGATGAGCAGTGACCAAAAAGGTATAAAATGACCCTCCCAATCTTACTTTTGTTGAGGCATCTTTTATCTTTGGCATTTGATGGTATCTAGATGTCCTAGAAAATCACAAGATAAGTGGATGGAAGAAGTCTGTAAACACCTAATGACAAACTGGTATATGTATTTTAGCTCGTTCATTCAACAAACCCTTATTTAAGTATCGAAGAAATATCAGGGGTACCATTATAAATACATAAACGGAAAATGCACTGCCCAAGAAGTTCAGCCTATGCAGAAGGACAGACATGTGAATAAATAATGAAATGTCAATACATACACACAAGGACATAAAAAGATGGAGGACAGAGGACGGGGTGACCAGCTGCCCAAGACTTTTACGAAAATATGAGTCCATATGACAGACAAGGTGCCAAGGGCGTCCGTGTGGAAAGACAAAGTCCACAGTTAAAGCCTTGCTGAGAGCAGCAGGAAACGAGATGGGCAGATGAGCGGGGGTGGTCACGAAAGCCCTCAGAGGCTGGCCAGGAAGTTCGGGCGCCACTGACAATTACTAGCAGGACACAGCGCAAACAGGTTCACATGTTAGGAAGGTAACCCTGGCAGCAGGGAGGCACAGCGGGAAGCACAGATAGGGAGGGGTGTGAGGAGAGGAGGCAGGGAGGCCAGATAGGACTCGGTGAGAGACAGCAAGGCAACACGGGGGTAGAGGGGATGGAAAGGATGAGTTTGGGCAGTGGCCCCCAACCTTTTTGGCATCCGGGACCGGCTTTGTGGAAGACCACTTTTCCACAGACACGGGGTGGGGATTGTTTCAGGACGATTCAAGCGCAATACATTCAAGCTCACCTCCTGCTGTGCGGCCCAGTTCCTAACAGGCCCGGACTGGTGCTGGTCCTAGCCCCAGAGGTTGGGGACCCCTGTGTCAATGGGTATTTAAGAGAAAGAGAGGGGGAAAGGTTGAGAATGTTTGAGGCTAAGCAAAACCTTAAGCATGTCCAAGTTGCCAGAATTTTTTTGCTTCGGTAACTGGGTGGATAAGGCCCAGAGCTTGGCAGCATTTGAGTTGGAAGACTACGAACCTGATCCTGGGGAAATGGCCTTAACTCCATCTGATTTTTAGTGGGGACACCGAGGAGACTCCTCAGGTCTGCAGTCCTGTGGGGTATGGGGAAGGGGGTTTGACTAGACTGTACGCTCCAGGAGGGCAGGGCAGTTTCTATCGCTCTGTACACAGTTCCCGAAACATCCTACAGCAGAGGCGGCATTAACTAAGCGCTTGCTGGCCCTGGCTGGGGGTCTCGGATGGTTGGAGCACCCACCTGTATACGAAAGGTTGTGGGCACGTATAGGAGGAAACCGGTGGGTGTTTCTCTCTCTCTCTAAATCTGTTAATATATCCTCGGATGAGGATTAAGAAAAATAATAAAAAACAGACACACACAATGCTTGCTGAGGAAGAAGTGAATGATCCCATTTCTGGGCCGGCTTACCTCTCCCCTCACTGCCCACAGCAGGTCCTGCCTCGGGGCTGGGAAATGAAGGGCAGTGGGCACACTGCCCCTAAACGGTCAGAGGCACTTTCAAGAGACATAAAGGAAACTGTTTGGCCGTGATCAAAGCTTCTAGTTAAAAATGCTTAGAATGCTGGGTAGATCCCCGAGGTTCAGAATCACCCAGAATTAAAAAGAAAAAAGTCCTAGGTCATCATCTTAATATGATTTCACGATCATATTCCGTGAATGAAGGGGGAAATGAATGAAGGGGGAAATGAAATAGACAGTTTTCAACAAATCCTTAAAGAGGCCTTCAAAATAATTTATCGTAAGTTATTCAATTAGCAGTGTGACCTAAAATTATCCCATTGTGGATTTGAAGTATTTTTACTCTGGTTATTATCATTTTTTTCATTCATAGTAAAGCTCACAAATTTATCACGGTTATGGAAAAGTTCACCTTGGAATTTTTCTTGTTTTGTTATTTGCTGTTTGCGGGGTGGGGTTTTTTTCTTTTCTTTTCTTTTCCTGCCAGAAGCTCCTTTACACTGTCCTTTAAATCACCTCTTCCCAGCACATGATACATTGACCATCCCTCCTTTGCCATTTGAATACATTAACAAAATTATCAATTTCTCTTCTTCTAAGCCAAGAGTCTTTGACCTCATTTCTCTGGCTTGCATGCGACATGATTGCTTAAAATGACTCATAATGTGCCTATTTATCCATGTCCATGTCAAGCAAAG